GGAGAGAGAGAGAGAGAGAGAGAGAGAGAGAGAGAGAGAGAGAGAGAGAGAGAGACGGGGTGGGTGAGAAGATCGGGGAGGGCAGTAATTACGCGCTTCTGGGAACAGGACTGTGCTATTTCAGTCGAAGTCCTTTTCAATTTCTCCCTCTCTCTCTCTCTCTATAGACTAAACGCGGAGTGAAGAAGGTGGAGCAGAGGGCTTATCTTGATCCGTTGGATGCCCAATCCACCGGCCGATGATCGTCCGTTGGATATGCGCAATCCAACGTCTGAAGTGGTTTGGATCATTCTCTGGCGCTGCACATTGATGTGATGTGAGACGCTCCATCTAGAGTAGTGTTGGCATAATTCGTCTTTTTAGTTTGTTTATATCCATTTGTCAAATTTCTGTTTTTCAAATTCTTCCTTGCCCCCTTTTTCCCTCGCGCTGCGCCGAATGCGACTGGGCGGCCTGGTAGTGCATAAATAACTGGAACACTCTGGCCCCTGACGGAGGGTTGGGGGGTAATTTGGGGCCTGTATCCACTACTCTCGACATGCACGAAAGATTTACTAAAATATATGGCGGTGTATCTTTCCATCTTCTAGCGCAACATTCATTTTCATTTTGGACATTTTCATTTTGGACAGTTGGTGAGTAGTGGAGCGAGGCGCTTGGAGCGGGTTACCGGGGCCTACCGGCTGGACTCCTCTTGACTTCGGCGATTGTAGAGGCGAGTGGTATTTTACAGTATTCTACGATTTTGGGGAAAACCAACCAAAGGTGGATTTAAAACAGTCCCAAGTATGATGCGTTTTTATTTTGTTTGATCTGGAACTGGCATTCGTGTGAGCTGGTTTTGCTTTGACGAGTCTTTGATGAGAATTTACAACCACGTTAGGAGGGATGGTGGTGTTTTTGATTTGACGAGTGATTTGATGATGCGTGATTTGACGATTGATTTGATGATTGATTTGATAATGCGTGATTTTTGATGAGCAATCACAAACCGTCTTAGGAGGTTGCTTGCTTGCTGACCCGTCGTCTTGGCAGAATAGTAAAGAAAGAGGTACAGGAGGTTCCATACGCGGATATGCATTATTCCGGCGTGGGATCGATTCTGTCGTCTTCCGTTGAAGTAATGATGATGATGATGATGATGATGATACGCGGGAGGTGCCCTCGGTGAAGTCACAAGCAATATGAGTATATGCGGAGGTGTAGGTGGGGTTGATGGTCGGTACTTGGTTTATTTTGCAAGCCCGGAAATTCTGTCGCAGAAGAGTTTTTCCCTCTGAGCATTTTCGCCAAGTTGAGTTGAGAGAAAGATTGAGTACCGAGTGATTCTCGATCGCGATCCCGACAGCTGGGAGGGAGTGTTACCCTTGGATTCTTCAATGAAAGCGTGAGACGACCCGTATCTAGTCTAGATCAAGTGAAAGGGGGGTCCATCATGGCGGAACATCGGGACAACGATTTCCCTGACGGGTGTGAAATGGATCCGTATGTAGAAAAAAAAAAGAGAGATTTCCAACTCGAAGGCTGAAAGGGATCTCGGCGCTGATCTGTAAGGTCCTGTTGTTGCAGAACCGGGATCGGGATCTCACCGTTCTCAGGATTTTTGTCCGCTCCCCCCCCCTCTTCCCCCCCCAACAACATGAAACATCAGTCGAAACTAGAATGCTCCGCGGTACAAAGCACACGAGATTCGAGTACAAGTAAGGGCCTCGCTCCACTACTGAACATTTGACATGCATCCGGACTCTTTTACGTACCAGATCCATTCCGACCGATCGAACATTGTGAATGTGTTGGGACGATTTCCAGCTCCAGTGCGCTTAGCATGCTGTGCAGTGGAGACAGGCCCTGAGGCCCTAAGATCCTGCTTGAGGGGGTGGGAGGGTGATATTCCTCAAGACAAGACAAGACAAGACAAGACCACTGGCTGGACTTCTACGACTGAACCGACGACCCTGCGCTACACCCCTCCCGCCTCCTTACCTTTCTCTGACGCCCCTTCGGCTACGACCCCCACCTGGTCCTGTTGGTATTGGGATGGGTGCAATCCCGATCCCTGCGACCACGGTATATGCCTGGAAATAAAAATGGCGGAGGAGGCCTTCAGTGTTGCTGATGAACGATTAAGGCCGTATTCACACTAGGACTTCGCGGAAATCATCTGACCTTTTTCACCGTCAGATTCACTTGCGCAGGATGACCTGATAAGCTAGAGTGTCGTTTGGAAGGACGTCGACTTTGACCTATTCCCGAACGTGAAGAGAGCACTCCAGCTGTGGCTTGCTGGTGTGCAATCCCTGGTCTTCTACACGTGGATTGCGATCTCATCTCTGAGAGTCCTGGTTCGACGGCAAAGGGAACGATGAGCATGCTGGTAGAGAATGCCTTGATTGATCGAGTCCTGGATTGATTGAGCGGTGATGGTGAGAGAAGGTGGCGGTGTACAACGGTGAGGAGGAACGTGAAGAAATCACAAGGGGTTTTACTAGTGGAGGAGGGTGGAAAGGTTTTGTGATCCTGTGCAAGAGGGGTTTYAGGGGGCRGRGRGGAGGGGGGGGGGGGTGGGGGGGTTGATTAGATGGATCAAGGAAAGACAGAGGGCTACGCAATGTGCAAGATGATACATTTTTGTTTGTCAGTGGTGGGGAGGGAGGGGCCTTGAAGGCTCTTCTGTCAAGAGACTGATGATGGCGGTTGGTGTGCATCCTCGTGTTTTTTTTTTCTGCTGTTCGTTGTTGTAGTACATGTGCTTGCAGCTGAGCTCAACTTCAGATGTTAATAGGATTTGATTCTATAGATATCTATGTTTAGTAGGTTGTGATTCTATGGATATCTATATTTAGTAGGACTTGATTCTATAGATATCTATTTTTTAGTAAGAAAGTTCAAGCGCTTGAACCTTCCGTAAGCCAAATTGGTTCCCTCGACAATGCAGTTGTTTAAAAAAAAAATAAAAAAAATAAAAAAAATCAATGCAGTTGTTTGGCTTCTCCGTGGAATAAGCAGCAGAAGGACTACTCACCCTTCTGGCTTCGTTGAGGGGTAATACCACCAGTACTTGGCCCAGGCCAATTGGTCGAGGGAAAAAAAATAAGAGTAGAAACGTTTCTAGTCGGATGAATTTGGTCGCTCCTGTAGTGGCCCGTACGTTTCCTAATATCGTGGCTCGTTAAAGGGCACGGCTTTAGGAAGTACTACTGGTGGTTTGATGCTCCCCAGAATGGAAATGGAGCCAGGGCCATAAGGACCTGTTAAAAAAAAGAAAAAAAAAAAGAAAAAAAGAATTATCCTCTTCCATATCGGTCATGACTGCTGTCTCGTACGTTAGCCTACCGGTAGTGGCGCTGGCGCTCAAAACTCCCGCGTGGGGTAAAGCTGCTCGCTTTCTGGTTTCAGGATCCGGAATGGCGTGTTATTTCATGCTAGCGCAGGTTTCTCTCACTTCTTCCCCTTTTTTTTTTTTTTTTTTCCGTGTGTCCCCTTGCCAGTTTGCGGGCCTCACTGCACCTGTCAGCAAGTGTAGAGACTCTAGAGAGTGAGAATGAATCTTCCCCTAGAACACGGAAAAATTCGTCGTTTGTGGTGGGTGGTGGGGCGGCGAGTGCCTGACTTGCGTGGTGGATGACTTGCATTTGCTGGTGGATGGGATGTGCTGCACGTCGTCTCCTTTGCGGGGCGGGCGGTCGCACGTGGGGAGCCCTCCCCGCTCCCGCGAAAAGCCATGCACTGCACAAAGACTCTTTTGGTGCTACAGATTGCAAAGAATGTTTCTCAGGGCATACTCACACTCACTAGGACTTTTTTGTATGAGGTTCTGCCCGCGATTGCGGTCAGATTCAGCCAGGTCCACACAACGTCGCGGTCGGATGCCATTTTGGAAAGTGCAGGTGTGCAAACGCGCCGCCCTGAGAAGCCGGAGACAGCAGACAGCAGCTAAACCTGTCTTTTATTCGCTTGTTGTGCTCTGTTCCCTTCAAAGAATGTTCTGCAGAAACAGCAGATGTCTTTTCAACGCTATCTCCTCTGGGAAATGTGAGTCTACAGCCCGATGGGGCTGATTTTTTGGTGGAAAGTAGTTGTGGTGTCAGCGCTCTTCTCCTGCGAGAATTGTGAGTGTGCAGCCAAATGGTGCCTGATGTTTTGGAGGAAAGTAGTTGTGGCGTCAGCGCTGTTCATGCGCCGAAGGCGGTGGGTGTGTCCGTCAGCGGTTCATTGCACCAATGATGGCGGTGTTGCCTGTCTGCGGTTTATCGCGCCAAACATGGCGCTGTGCCGGTCAGCGGTTTAGACATCAAGGAAAGGAATCCGGCGTGTCGGTCAGTTGTTCGTGGACCGCCAGGGCGCGGCAAGAAAATGCGCGGTTGGTTTGGGTCAGACACTAAAGATGAAAGTGAGGCAGTCGGCGGTACATGGCGCTGTGCCAGTCAGCGGCTTAGACACCAACGAACGGAATGCGGCGTGCTGGTCTGTTCGCGGACCGCCAGGGCGCGGCAAGAAAATGCGGGGTTGGTTTGGGTCAGACGCTAAAGATGAAAGTGAGGCAGTCGGCGGTACATGGCGCTGTGCCAGTCAGCGGCTTAGACACCAAGGAAAGGAATGCGTCGTGCCGGTCAGCTGTTCGCGGACCGCCAGGGCGCGGCAAGAAAATGCGCGGTTGGTTTGTGTCACACACTAAAGATGACAATGAGGCAGTCGGCGGTACATGGCGCTGTGCCAGTCAGCGGCTTCGACACCAAGGAAAGGAATGTGGCGTGCCGGTCAGCTGTTCGCGGACTGCCAGGGCGCGGCAAGAAAATGCGCGATCGGTTTGTGTCAGACGCTAAAGATGAAAGTGAGGCAGTCGGCGGTTTACGCACCCAGGAATGCGGTGTGCCAGTCAGCGGTGTTCATGGACCACGACCGGGGCGTGGCCGGCAGTGCAAGTCATCTGCTCCATAAATAACTGTAGAAAAGTCTTTGGTGTGAGGGGGGAGGGGTTAGGCATCAGACCCTCCCCCAGCCTACTTAGCCTATTGGTTAGGCATCTGCCTGGCAAGCTCTATGGGTTGCATGTTCAATTCTCTGATTCAACTCGCACGCCATGAAACTTGACGGCAACATAGTGAAAAAAGTGCAGTCTATATGTCATGCGTTTGGAATTTTGGAGGTGCAGGATGTTTTTTTTTTCCACTTTTTGGTGATGATGATGATGATGATGATGATGATGATGATGTACAGACTTGTAGTATTGATCAACTCCAGAAAAAGATGGAAAATGTTGTTCTCAGAGCTGCTAGTTCTACTTCAAAAAAGAGCAGCTAGTTCTACTTCTATGCAAAAAAAATGTCCGATTCATTCCTAGAGGACGCTGTGCCTGGTGTTTGCCTGACAACCCATAGGCTTATGCATTGCACGGCGTTAGTTTTTCTGTATTATTGTTAAAAAGGTGTGTCCAGTTGTAAGGGCAGGCTGGCACTATGTCACTCTATGGACTCGGCAGCTCTGGACGCGATCGCTGTCACATGCATTCAGCTGTGGACGTAATTGCTGTGAGATGCATTCAGGAAAGTGCTAGTGTGAGTAGCCCCATCACAAGGCTGCTGCAATCTGCATTCGTTTTCTGTCATGGACGTTTTCTGCTGTCGTGGTCGTTGTGCTTTTTCTTGTCCCTTCAACTGTTGCCATCCGCCAAGGTTTTGAACGCAATGCATCTGGACCGAGCCCATGTCCATGCGGTTCTAAAGGGTGGTTGACGAAACCGAAGATTGTGAATGCAATGCATCTGGACAGCGGCCATGTCCAGGAGGCGCTTTCGATGACACAGGGTTCTGCAGTGGGCGGTTGTCCAATATTTGTGATTGCTCATCGAAGGTATATTTATATATATATATATATACGATATATATGTATATTACCGGGCAGTTCTATTTGACGATATATATGTGTGGGAAAAAGGAAAAAGATAGAAGTGTTTAGCTTTTCCAAGAAGAGGCATGAAGGGTTGTTGGCAAAGTGTTGGTTTGATCAGAAGAAAAACGTTTTTTGCAATGTTGGTGGCATAGACGACGACGACAGGCACTGAGGCAGCAGCCCCCCTTGTGAATCCAGAAACCGACTGGACATCAATTTTTTTTTTTCTGGAGGCCGGTTGTGATTCAAGAAAGCGACTGGACATCAGAGGGACGGGGGACGGAAGTAGGGAGAGTAGTATTCACTGCAGTCCGCAGGTAGTAGAGGATGGTTTTTTTTTTTTTTTTTTTTTTTTTTTTTTTTTTTTTTTTTTTTTTTTTTTTTTTTTTTTTTTTTTTTTTTTTTTTTTTTTTTGCTTGTGTGGATGGTGTGAATGATGGTGTGAATGGAGTGATTCTGGCCACGACATCCCCCGAGCATTCTGGTTGAGGAGAGTATGGTTTAGTATGCTGCAGGAAGGACACACCCATTTCGAAGGGGTGCTACAGTGTGTCTTGCATGTATCACATCCACTCCACCTGCTGGAAGCTTTGTGTATTGAAAGCATGGGACCCATTCAAATTTCAAACTATTTTTGTGATTGGTTGATAATAAGTTGGTTTCTGGTGGTGCTGGCAGGGCCGGGCATATGTGCTTGTTACTCCGCAACCCAGTCGACATATCTGCTGGCGTGCATCCAAAAATTGTACAAATTGTATTGTGTGCCAAATTGGTTTGATGGGGAGCGCTTGATTAGTCTGGTAGTAATCTTGTGAAATATTTGCATGCCATGGCTAACTTTCTCTCTGTCTCTGTCTCTCTCTCTCTCTCTCTCTCTCTCACACACACACACACACACACACACACACACACACACACATGCCCACCCTCTTTCTCTCTCCCTCTCTCCCTTTGTCTTTCACTTTGTAGAACCTTGTTTTGCTGAAAAGATGGCTCTCTCTGACACACACACACACACATGCCCACCCTCTTTCGCTCTCCCTGTCTTCCTCTCTCTTTCACTTTGTAGAACCTTGTTTTGCTGAAAAGATGGGCACGCAATCTATGTGCTTGATTTCTTTTGGGGGGAACTTCAGTAGAGTCACAAAAGGGAGTAGTTATAAATGCACTATGGGGCAAGATAGAGTTTGCAATTGCACTTGGGGCACCGTACCTGGCCAGAAAGCTGGGTTGTATACATTGCCCGAACTGAAATTTGAACCTGTATCTCGGCCCATGGTGCAATTATAACCTAGGCTACCAGAGTGGCCCGGGGTGACTTGCCCGGCCGGGCCAAAAAAAAAAAAAAAAAAAAAAGAACTTAATTTTATTTTTGTTCTAAATTTGGTGCAGAATTTCNTTTTTCTTCATAACATAGTTTATTTTCGGGTTTTTTTTTTTTTTTTTTTTTTTTTTTTTTTTTCCCTGGTACCTTCCCTGGTCCTTGCACGGGCTGGCCACCCGGGACCCGGGCGGCCCGGCTGGTAGCCTAGATTATAACTCGTTTTTGTGACTCTCGCGTAGTTTCCCCGCGGTCATTTTAGCAAACATTAAGAAACACGGCACCATTTTGGACAGAAATCATCATTTCGCACACAGGCCATGGCCGCTAGGGAGCCTTGGAACTCGTAGAATCGCTCCCTGTGGGACCTAGAAAGAAGTAGTATGTCGGCCCAATGAGATCTCAGTCAGTCCAAGAAACAATACCCCTTCCGGCAGCAGGAGCTCTCCCGTCTGGTGTTTTTTGCCAAAAAAAAAAAAAAAAGATGCCATCAAAGTAAGTGTGTGTGTGTTTGTGTGTGTTTGTGTATCTGGTTCATGCAAGTGATGCCGAGATCAATCTACTGGATACACACACACACCTGTACTTCCGCCGCATTTCTCTCTGACGCTGGAAATGCACTGTGCCGCCAAAAAACCCAACTGTGCAACTTGCTTTTGTCTGGCGCTGCCAGCCATTTTGCTCCGGTATCCGAGGCCCAAAAAACGCAGCACTTCAATGGGAAGGGCCCGCGGCCTATATGTACGAGCCAAGTACCTGTGGTTTCAGTGGGATCAGGGAGCGCCCATCCGTGTGCAGTAGTTCTGGACCCTTACTTTTCTTCTTGGGCCCAAGCCCATCCGTGAATGCATGGAACCGACCCGGCACCCTTGCACCACGAGAGCCGAGTCTGTTAAACCACCAGCCCATGGGACCCAAAATTGACGAACCAAAATATGCTTTCTGCCGAGCCTGCAATCTACATATTAAGCAGTTAACAGGGACCCCCTCTTTTCAGCCCCGGTTAACCCCCCTCAACCCTGAAAAGTGCATTGGAGATCATGTTTTTAAGTTTTCTCTGTTTTTTTTTTTTTTTTTTTTTTTTTTTTTTTTTTTTTTTTTTTTTTTTCCCCTGTTTTTTTTTTTGGTCAAGGTCTGTGTCAGCCAAGTTTGGTGTTTGTTGGGGTCTTGGAGTTCACTGTTTTGGCTAGCCCTGAAAAATCCTGAAAACCCTGAAAACTGAAAAGAGTGAATTTTGCATGAAAACACACTTTTGCCTTGCTGTTTTATAGGTTTTTTAAGTTTTTTCTTTCTTTTTTCAATTTGTTTTTTGTTAGTTAGTATGAATCCACTCTTATGGATTGGCCGCAAGTTTGGTTAAAATGACCCTTGGGTTTTGTTATAAATGGCCTGACAAGTCTGGTCTGGTTAAAATGACCCTTGTTTTTTTTTTTGGTTAAACCACCAGTACTTGGCCCAGCTATCGGCCGCGGCGCTTTCCTGTTACCGCGCCGCGCCTTTAGGGCTTCGGGGTACCGGACCACAATGGCTGGAAGCGCCAGCCAAAAATTTTTGAAAACGGTACCCCGGCGCTTCGGCGAAAATTGGCGCGCAGGGGCATTCCAGGCTCGGCATCGATAGCCGGGGCCAAGTACTGGTGGTTTAACACCCGTGACATCAGATAGGAGTGATGGGAAAAACATACACTCTAACCTGACTTGCCGGGGGGCTCCAATCTATTGGTGGGGACCTGCGCCTGCTGGAAAATGGGTCCAGCGTCCCTTAGATTACAGTGAAAGGGTAACCGGGCCCACTGTCCCAGCACACGAAAAGGTATAGGACATGCCGGGAACCGTGCCCACCATCCCACCTTAAGCCGCCAGTACTTCCTAAAGTCGTGCCCGTTAATGCTACGCGATTTTAGGAAACGTACGGGCCACTACAGGCGCGCCCAAATTCATCCAACTAGAAACGTTTTGACTCTATTTCTTTTCCGCGGCCGATAGCTGGGCCAAGTACTCGTGGTTTAACGTCTACTGATGCCCGGATGCCATAGGTTGGTGGTGATGATGATGCTCTTGCTGAAAAGGATACTGATGATGATGGTAGGGAAGCTAATGATTCTAGGATATGCTCTGTGCCCGCCTGCCCGCCCTTCCTTCCTTCCTCTAGCCACCTATTGCTACCGTTGACTTCCTTATCAGCGCTCTTAACCTTCCCTTGTGGTGCCAGTCTGAGATCTCACCTCTGTCAGACCAGTGCTGTGCTTTCTGTGCCGTGGGAGGAGGCGGGGTGGGTGGGTGGGTGAGGGATTGACCCCGCCAACCTGTTCGCCTCGTACCAAAATTTGTTATTGGGAATAACCCCTAGCCCCTAGCCCCTAGCCCCTCCCCTCAATGTATTGATTTCAGTGTCCAAACCCTACCTTTCTCTCTACTCCAGGTTCTCCTGAGCAATCTTGATTTCATTCATTCTTCCCATACCACCCAGGACTTGGGTGAAATATGTAAACTGATCTCATTGAGGTGTGTGTGTGTGTGTGTGTGTGTGAGGACTTGTGTGAAATATTTAAACTGATCTAATAGAGGTTTGTGTGTGTGTGTGTGTGTGTGTGCTCTTTTTCCTGGAGCCGCAAGAATAATTTATGCCCAACGGATGTGAAATTGGTAAATGTTGAGCCACACAATTGACTTCTTAGTTGTGCGGCCGAGGCCAACGCGTTTATGCTTAAGTATTTAAAGCAGACTTGTTTTAGTGCATCGATGATTTAGGCTCGTTCAGGCTGGCTCGTTCCCTTCATCATCACTGTGTACTCGACCAGACTGGCGTTGTGCCCCAATTGCTGGACATTCTGGAGAGATTTGAGTTCCTTCCCCGGCTTCTGCTCGCTGTGTATGCGACCAGCGTGGCGTTGTGACCCAATTACTGCATTGGCGTCTATCAGACCCTGGGCACCGTTCCGAATTCCGGACATTTGAATGGCTAAGTGGTGTCCCGCTGTATGATCTCGTGCTTTTTTTGCCCAGGAATTTTGGGGTGAAGGGCACAAGACAAAAACAGCTTAAAAAAAAAAAAAAATCCCCTGCAGTTTTGGTGGCACATGGAGAGGGCGAAATATGCCGCGGCTCAATTGGTTTGAATGTTGGAWAGTCAAAAAAAAAAAAAAAAAAAAAAAAAAAAAAAAAAAAAAAAAAAAAAAAAAACTTTGTTTGGCACAGTCATTTCTCCCACCTGTGAATACGGACTTTGTCGTAGTCTACGGTGGCTCAGACTTCTGAACCCTGGTTCGTACCCCTAGCTACTCTTTCTTCCCCCTCCTATCATAGCCTATAGGCTGCTCTTCCTCAACAAATTGCCACAAGGCCACACAAAACCAGGCCGAAGGGTATCAGACCGAAAATAGGTCTGTGAAAATATAGGAAGAGAATAGGTAGAAGGAAAAAAAAAAAAAAAAAAAAAAGAAGGAAGGAAGTGCTGGCAGGCTTCTGCTACATAGTGTTCCTTCCCCCCCC